GATTATCTAAATTGAGATGGCCTGGGGTAACCGATTAGATGGCTTGTCGCATAGATACCAATTCTTGAAGCTTATTGTCACTCGGACTCTGGGATATCACAATGTCATGGTGTTTGCCAAAGGGCGTGATACAGGCGACTGATGATTACCAGGTGGTTTTGGGTATGACGGTTAAAAACTGAAACCAAGGGTTTGGATTGTTCTGAAGCACAATATAGAAAAGCAGAACTTGAGGTTCTTCCATCCCGCTTGCAACGTACAAAGGTCCGAGCCATCTAGTCCGCCTCGCAGCTCAACGACGCGTGACGGAGAAGACCGACCTTTATATACGCTCAAGCAACACTGTGCAAAGGAAACAAGTCATGCGCAACAACCTTCATATTCCATCCAGAGCTTCCCTTTATAGAAATATCGAAAAAGTTTATGATGAAGCTTGTCCATTCCTAGTCCCGGTAGAAGTAGCAGAAGCACAAGCACAAGCAGCACTGTAATGGCAGCCCCAAATCAGTATATATATATATGCTGATTGAGCGGTAGAAAATTCAGGTCTTGTGTGAGGCAAAATGACACTTCTCTCTAGATTGTGTAGATTATTGATCATGGGGACGATGCTGGATGCAGTTCATCTTCGTATATTATTCGCACATCCACCGTTAGTTTGTGCCACTTGGCTAAAGCTTCACAAAGCGGTACTGAGAAATGGAATGCGAAAACAAGAAGACAGGTGAGCAGCAATGCTCATCGGCCAAAATCTAGACAGCCTACGGGGCGTGCTTCGCGAGGGGAAGTATTGCACTGTAATCGAAGGCATCGGCGTACTCGCCTAATAGGGACTGCCTGCCAACGTCCGGCGCCGAAGATGTGGAGACTCCGGCTCCGGGATTCGAGCCGGCACGGGGGGCTCGCATTCGACTGTCTGTGCTCTCGTCTGGCCGATGCCGCGGTATGCACATGCATGGATAAGCAAGGTTCCCTTGGGCACAGCTTCAGCAGGGTCTGGCGAACAGGGCAGGGTCTCTGCTGTTATCATGAACTGCATGCCGTGCAGTTCTCGCTAGCATCATGGGCGTGGGGGTTTAGAGAACGTGGACCTGGATAGGCCTGACGGCACACTTTACTCGAGCTATGCACAGGCTGTGGTCAATGTGGCTAGACGGCGAGGGTCGGGAGCTTTGCCAGTGGTAAATGCCTAGTTACAGTTGCAGCCGCAGTTGCAGATGTGATGAATATAAAGCTTGAGGTGGATCAAGATTCTAACCCAGTACGAGTCAGTATGGAAAGCAGCGCTGGGTTGTGATGATGAGGATGGTGGCACGTCATTCATCATCTGACAGCAGAGCCACAAATCCAGCGCTTTGCCGTGGCCTGATGGACGCGCGAAAGCAACCGACCTTGCCGCTTGATCTTGGCGACGTTGAGTTGCTGATGAGCGGTTTGGGTCTGACCGCTTTGAAAAAGACACCCTTGTCATCTTGGGGTCTGGAGCTTCCGTTGATGTTGCACAAGGGTACCTACAGCCAACGGGGCATGCAGTGCTTCCTTTGATTTTTGATAGATGAAGTGATGGATGATGACTCCCGCTCAATCCTCTTGCCATTTCGCTTCTGATACCGCTCGTGCGTTGTTCTTTCTGTACATGTAGTTGTATCCATGTCTTTGAGCAAGGAGGCGGATCTGCGATCGAGGGGGTTCCCACGAGAGGGGCACGGACAGCCCTTCGCGTGGCGGATAACATCAACCCTGAAGTTCCCGCTACCTGCACGTCGCAGCATGCAGATACGCGCATGGATGGTTCCGTGTACGGCAAAATGACTCAAGGGGTCAGCTGAGGGCTGGGGAAACTGAGAAACTGGAGTTGAACCCTGGCGAGACGGCCGACAAGCGGTCAAAGCAGCACACCAAGTTGACCTGCAGCAAAACAAAGCCCCAGAGAGCACCCAGACGTGTAGATGTACCTGGCCGTTGGCATCTGGCGATGGATGGATGGTCGCAGGCTCTTGTTGAGGGCTTCGTGACAGCCGCTGCGATTGGCCGTTGGACCTCGAATCGACGTGCCCTGCATAGCTGCAGCGGTACCGCTACATGCGCCTTCAGGCACCTGCAGAGGGGCTTCGCGCATGGGTTGATGTACGAGCATGCGAGATATTTGTCTCTCTTTCTTGATTCACTCGGTGATGTGCAGCCGGGTGGATCAAGGGCCTGCATGCGCCCCCATGTGCTGAATGTCTGTCTGGACGGAGTCTTTGCGTGCGTGTGTGTGTGTGCCAATGTGCATATACTCTGTCACGCGACGAGGCGGTCGAGTGGAGGAGCGTATGGTCATGTTCATCGAACTCTTCATTGAACTCTTCATTCCCCGCTTTGAAAGAGAACAAGATTGTTTCTCTTCTGTTTTCGCGTCCTGAGGATGATGAGGGCGGTGGTGAGATGCATTCCTGTGCTTACCTCAGCTCGACGCTTCGCTGAGTGCGCCCTTGATCCTTCCAGTGCCAGCAAGACATCATAGACAGATCAACAAAACAAAAGAAAAGGTGCTGGGTATATTATCTGGTCTTCCTCGCAGCAGTGGGACATGCATGCATTGCAGCGATGCCTCGCGGCGGTGCATGGAGTTGCATCAATTAAACAGGATGTGGCTGCAGAAGGAAGTTGAAGGGATGGCAGTCTTGGATCGAAGAGGTCTCTGACAAGTACTGTCGCGGTAGCGTGGCGTTTGGACTGATGTTGACATTTGAGGCAGAGCAAACGGAGATGCTCTTGACTGTTATAAAGGAGATGTTACTGGTGGCCTATGTACCATGTTTTTTTGTTGCTTCATTCTTCTCTCTGCCAATATTGAATGTCGTAACACCCCTCGACTCTCGGCATCCAGCAGCACCGTGAGTACTCCCAAGGTACGTGACAGTACAAGAGGGAGGCTGGCCGCAGAGATCCAATCCGCATGCGAGATTCCTTATGGCTGCAGCCTCTGCAGAAGGGATCAGGAGGCTAAGACAGACGCTAGACGGCTTTGGGGGTCTGGTGACAACCTCAAGCGAAGGGGACCCGCAGCCCAGCCAACCCTCCCGCCCAGCGCCGCTCTGATTGGCCGGGCCGCTGCCTCTTTCTTGGTTTACAAGTTGAGAAATCGTCAAGGCCCGTCCGTACCTGCTCTTGTCGCGGCGTGGTGCCTTCTCATTGAAGGTGCCAACGGCTAACCAAATGATCAGGTCCAGTCCGTGAAACTGCAAGATAGGGCAAGGGCGAGGCAACAACGGCAAGTGTAGTGTCACGTTGTTGCTTCACTTGCCTCTAGCTGTCCGAGATAGGCGCCTCCCACGCCTAGCACCTGCTTGATTGTCGCCTTCCGCTAGGTATGCTCTGGCCTGGGCTTGTCCCACGAGGGCTCACGCACGTCTATCGTAGGCCAGTCATTGCAGTACCCTGCCGGCCGGTAGCTGTACTATCATCGTCCAAGACAACATGCTGCAGGGCGCTGGTCATTCTACGAGACAAAAGGGTACCCTCTGTCTCTACAGCTGCCGACTCAGTTGCAGATGGCAGAGGCATGGAAGATGGAATATTGGGGCCGTAGACATTTCGTACTGCCTGTCATGGTTGTCGCTCTGGCACGAGTCTGATGCCAATGCCGGTACTTGCGTGTACATACCTTACTTTGTGCCCCCCAAGCAGGACTGCGCTCGCGATAACGCCCGCTGAATTCTATCAGATATAATGTATGAAGATGGTATTCCTAAGCTGCCGCATCACACATGGCATTTATTGCATATCTGCTACTCCTCACCTTCTTGCAACAGCGCTTTATCATCTGCAGTGCCCCAGACACCTACTACGAGTGATTCTAAGCCACCAAGAGAGAAGCGCAAAAGAGGAACAAGCACAAAGAGGGTGTCAAGGTGCTCTCGGCAGCAGCCCTTGTGCCACCTCGAGCTGAGATACTCGCCTCTCTGCCTCCACGGGCTGCCAGACCCAAAGCAAGGGCGTCTGTAGCATTCATTGGTTCCTCCACATCTCGCACCTTTGGATGTCAGTCACTTTGTCCGGATATCTTCTTCCTGGGCCGCGGTCAGTGGCTCTTGCTGCCATCACTTGATGAGCCTCGCCAGCAAACGACGCTTTGGATCCTTCATCCCGCCCGATATCCTTCCAGTATTGCTACGCTGCCGGATCTTTCCACTTGCTAGCCTTGTTCACTCATTACACGCTCCTGAGCTTACCTTTGATTCTTGGGCCCTCGCGACCACAGACCGCCTAGTCCCTTACCTTGAGTGAGGTGGTGCCTTGTATTAGTCTCTGTGCTACACACCAAGCAGTGAGTATTCACTACCTCCAAGGCAGTTGGTGGCAAGGGATCTAGAGAGGCGGGCGGCGCGGCACGAGCATCGTCAGTCCAGCAATCTTTATCGCGTTGTACCAAGGGCGAGTACAGGCTACGGCCGCCACGTTGGGTCCTTGGTCAGATAATCAATCTGAGCTGCCGGTAGCTGCGCTTGCGACACACCTCGCCAGATGCTGCAGAATTATCGGGTCAGTAGCACCACACAAAAGAAAAAGTTTCAAGGGAAAAAATGAAGACTCAGCTAATACAATCACCATGGTGCAGTAACACTCCATCTCATCTTGTGAGTACCGTGGTTTGTTGTTTCTTTCCTTTTCTCCCTTGTCTGTCCTTCTCGTGGATCACGGTTGTTGGAGATGAATGCCAAGCGGGCCGCCACAACTTACACGACTGTGACAGCTTCTTCGACGACATAACAAATTTGCGCGCTGGCTGGTGGCCACGTCTCTTGCATCTGTTGATGATATCGTCTTTTGGGGGGCTTCTTTTCCCTCTGTTGTGCAGCATTTCCGACAAGACGACCGACCAAGCCATACGTGCGAGCGCAGTCTCAAACTCGCCTTTCTCCCTTGTTTCTTTTGCAAAGGGATCAAGCTTCACAGGGAAACTTCCCTTCTGAAATCACCCTCGTCTTCGGTTTGTCCGCTCTTCGTCGAAACGCATAGCTTCCATGATTGCGACGTTGCGGTGCCGCTGCATCAGCTCCCATTCTCACAATGGCTGCCGCCGATGTCCTGGCATTCGATCCGCCTTGGAACAGATGCACCCAATGGCCAACCCCCAGGCAACCGAAGCCAGGTACTCTCTGGAATGAGCACAGTCTGCAGTCCCAGCTGCAACTCATCTCTCGAGCTTGGATCGGTGGTAGAGAGGTGCGTATCGATCTTTTTGCGGGGAAAGCTCATTGTTATGTAGGCCGCTTCGCTATTCGGTTCAACGCACTGACTTGGGGTTCATAGCATCGATCGTCCTCGAAATGCACCTCGCAGCAGCGCAAACCACTAATTGTGCCCAGCATCTTCCTGCAGCGGCTCTCTCGACATCATGCAACACCCGCAGCGACCTCTTCCGTCCATCATGTCATAAGACCTCATCACGCCGATTCGAATGTTCGCCGAGTTGCACCACACGATGAACCTCTCCATCCACCAGCCGCGGCCCAATCGGAGCGGCCCAGGCGACCCCGGTCTAGCTTCCTCGACGATCCGGTTCTCAATGTAATCATCGATCTCACCTCTGAAGACGGTTTTGTCGCCTGCAAAGGCAAGAAAAACAAGAACAGAGGAGGATCCAACGGCAAATCCAGCAACAACAACAACAACAACAAACCTCCAGAGGAGCCCTCCAGAGAAGGCAGCCAGAACCCCGACGGAAATGGCGGTGGGGATCAGGGTGGTAGTGGTGGTAATGCGGACCAGGGCGGAGCTGCAGGTGACGGAGATACTAATGCTGGTGGTGGCGGTGATGGGGACAGGGATAGCGACAAGGGTGCAAACAATGACAACGCGCAACATGATTTGTCGGTGCCTCCCAAAGGCAGCGAAAAGGATACCAAGACCAAAAAGGGCCCTGAGACCGAGTCTCCTCATCCTCCAACCAACGCGATCGACGACGACTCTCTTCACGACGTGAACCTCAACGACGACGGCGGCAAAGCTTCCGATTCTGGGCTGCACGCGCACGAGTCCAAGAGTGGATTTGGGGCCTGGAGTAGTAAATTGGTGTCGCTTGTTGGTGGTGCCGCCAGCGGATCCTTGAGTGGTTACGATGCCCATACCGACGCTGGCGACAAAAACAACAACCTCGATACCAATCCTTGGAGCGCCAGCGACTCGAAGCAGTCCAGCTCTGTAGCATTTGCAGTCGCCGATACCGATGCGACACAGACAAAGCCTCAAACCCAAGTTGAGACGCCCCAGAATGCTGTAGATGGGGACGATGACCTCTGGGGCTTTACTTCTTCTAAGAAAAAGAGCAAGAAGGTCAATACCGCACTCAACTCCGTTGCTGCCACAGCGGCTCCAGGAGTGAACGACGGCCTCACCAAAGGCGACACCGAAAAGACACACAACAAGAAAGCAAGCGACCCGTCAGTTGAGGACGAAGTGAAGCCAGACCCCATGCCGCCGCCCAAGGGGTCGTCCAGGCAGGAGGCGGAGCAGAAGAAAAAGCAGGAAGACGAGGGTTGGTCCTTTGGCTGGGGCTTTGGCAAGAACAAAAAGAAGGCCGAGGAGAGCGTGAAGCAGTCCGAGCAGCAAATACCCGTTCCCCCGCCGCCTCCCCCTGCGCCACCTCCGCCATTCGCAGCCCAGGCGGAAGCGGCTCTTCTCTCTGAGAATGTATGGGACTCCGTTCCTTCTGCAAAGGACAAGAAGAAGAAGAGGGACAAACTAGCGCAGCCCGACATCATAGCCGTCCCAGAGCCAGAGTCAAAAGCCAAGCTCGAGTCCAAGGAGCCGGACGACGACCTCTGGGGTTACCCTGGTAAAAAGCAAACCAAGAGGGAGAAGGAGAAGGAGGCGGAAAAGACCAAGGAGAAAGACAAGGACAAGGATAGGAAGAAATCGAAATTGGCAACATCCGACGAACCAGCTTCGGAGAAACCTGCTTCGCGCATACCTCTTCCTAAAGACAAGCGACTTGGTGGGAACGAACCTTTGATAACCGGCAAAGAATCATCGCGAATCGCCAAAGAAGCGGTGGCAAACGGCAAAGCCAAGGAAGCAGAAGTCGATAAAGGCCCAGAGGAAACGAATGCCGGCGCACCCAAGACTGGGACTTCTGAAGAGGGTTGGAGCTTCTGGAGTTTTGCCAACAAGATAAAGGGTGATTCAATTACCGGGTCTGGCGCTGACGAAGCAAGGGAAGGGTCATCAAAGGCGGAAACGCAAAGCCCAAAGTCTTCGGGAGAACGCATCGACGAGACGGACAAGGACAAGGACGGGGACAAGGATAAGAAGAAGAAGAAGAGCTCATCTTCTGACCCGTCCAAGGGCGACTCGAAAATCGAAAAGTCCAAGCACGAAGACGTCTCGGGCTCCAAGAAGGACAAGAAGAAGGGGACCGCCGATTTGGTTCAGCTAGGGGCCCCGTCCGCGGATGACTCTAACAACTTAGGTCTGGACACGACCGACGCTTTCGGCAGCGAGAACTTCTTCGGCTCTTGGGGTATCGGCAAGAGCGATAAGAAGCGGAGAGACGTTGACGACTCGTCGTGGAAGCCTGATGGCATTGAGGAGCCAACCGACCACACCTCGCCCCAGGGCAAGAAGAAGCCCACTTTCAGGGGCGGCCCAGTGGAAGTTTTGGATGAGACCACCGGTGAGATTGTCCTGCCTGACGACGTAGAGGAGGTCAGGGACGGCAAGGCCGAGGGTGTCGACAGCTACATCTGGACAAAGTCCAGCAAGGCGTTGTCGAGATCTCAGAAGGGGGCCTTAGCTATTCTACCTCCCCGTGCGCCCACACCCCCCTCGATGCACTTTACTGAACCTGAAGATGAAGCAGGAGATGCCGATGCCAAATCGAAGCTCAAATCATCGAAAGACAGAGAAGCGGACAAGGTGCCCAAGCTGACCGATAAGGACCTCAAGAGGCTTGAAAGGGAGAAGAAGAAGGCCGACAGGGAAGCCGACGAACGATCCCGACAAGAAGAAGCCGATCGAATGGCGGAAGAGCAGAAGGCACTGGAACTCGCTCGCGAGGCAGAAGAAAAGGCCAGACTCGAGGAGGAAGCTGAAGCTGCGATTGCTGCCAAGGAAGAGGCCGAAATGGCTGCGCTGGTTGACAAGAAAGCCAGGAGGGGCAAATTGACCAGGAGAGACCAGGATAAGCTTACCTCCCTAAAAGAGAGTACCGCAAGCCGGGCCGAGAGACGAGCTGCGCGAGAAGCCAGAGCACGTGAGGCTGAGGAGCGTGCCGCCCAGGAACAGGCAGCCCGAGAAGCTGAAGAGCAAGCAGCTCGCGAAGCTGAGGAACGTGCTGCCCGAGAGGCAGAGGAGCTTCAAGCCATCATTGCCGAGGAACGAGCAGAAATGAAAGCCTTGCTTACGAAGAAGATCAAGAAGAACAACAAGTTGCCTCGGAAAGAAGAAGAAAGACTCACCCAACTTCAAGAAAACGCTGCAAAGCGTGCCAAAGAGCGTGCTGCTCGCGAAATACAAGATAGAGACTCCAAAGAGGCCGCAAAAGAGCAAGAGCCAGACGAGCCCCAGGCTGAGACTGTCGAAGAAGTGGATGATGCCGAAGCTGCAGTCGCCGTCCCAGCTGGAGACGGAGAAGACGTCGATGATGAGCAGCAACAGGCGCTCCGCGAATCCGAGGAACAGGCCATTCGGGAAGCAGAAGAGCGTGCGGCCGCTGTCGTCAAGGAAGAAGAAGAGGAACTGGCAACGCTGATGGCAAAGAAAACGAAACGGGGCAGGCTTCTCAGGAAAGACGAGGAGAGGCTCGTTGCGCTCCAGGCCAATGCCGCAAAACGGAAAGACGAAGCAGCCCAGGAAGCGGCACGAAGAGCCCAGGAGGAAGAGCGTGCCGCCCGCGAAGCCGAGGAACAAGCTGCTCGTGACGCTGAGGCTGCTGCCCAGGAAGCCGCCCGTCAAGAAGAAGAACGTGCCCGAGAGGCTGAGGAACAAGCCGCTGCTATCCTTCGAGAAGAAGAAGAACTGGCTGCTTTGGTCACAAAGAAGGCCAAGCGAGGCGGTAAGCTTCTGAGAAAAGACGAAGAGAGACTTGTTCTACTCCAAGAAAATGCTACCAAGCGGGCTGATGAGCGAGCTGCTCAGGAAGCTGAGAAAGCTGCCCGGGAAGCTGAGGAGCAAGAGCGTGAAGCCCAGGAACGAGCGGCTGCTATCGCCATGGAAGAAGAGGAAATAGCCGCTCTGATATCGAAGAGAGTGAAGAGAGGAGGGAGGCTCCTCGGAAAGGACGACGAGAGACTCGCACTACTTCAAGCCAACGCCACAAAACGGGCGGAAGAGCGCGCAGCCCAGGAAGCAGAACAGGCTGCACGAGAAGCCGAGGAGCAAGCCGCTCGAGAGGCTGAACAAGCAGCAAAGGAAGCTGAAGAACGGGCTGCGCGAGAGGCTGCAGAAGCTGCAGAGGCTGCCGCGATTGCCAAGGAGGAGGAGGAGATAGCCGAACTGATCTATAAGAGGGACAATTCGTTCATGGGCATTTCGAGCAAAGGAGAGCAGCGACTAAAACTCCTTCAGGCCAAGGCAGCAAAGCGAGCTGAAGAAAAAGCGGCACGAGAAGCGGCTATTGAAGAGGAGCGGGCAAGGCAAGAAGCTGAGCGTCTCGCACGTGAAGCTGAAGAGCAGGCCGCTCGGGAAGCCGAGCAAGCAGCCAGGGAGGCAGAGCAGGCAGCCAAAGAAGCCAAAGAGCAAGAGGAGCGAGAAGCCAGGAAGGCCGCTGCAATTGCTAAAGAGGAAGAAGAATTGGCGTACCTCCTCGAGAAGAAGGCCAAGGCATACAAGGGCAGACTTCTCAATCAGGCCGAAGAGAGAATCATCCAGCTTCAGGCCAACGCCGCCAGACGAGCCGAAGAAAAGGCGGCCCGGGAAGCTGAAGAGCAAGCGGCCCGGGAAGCCGAGCAGGCAGCCAGAGAAGCGGAGCAAGCAGCCAAAGAAGCCGAGGAGCTTGCCGCTCTGGAAGCAAAGAAACTCGCCATGATTGCTGAAGAAGAAAAGGCACTGGCAATGCTACTCGAAAAGAAGGCCAAGTCGAAGCTGTCGTCCAAGGGAGAGGAGAGGCTGAAGAGTCTTCAGGCCAACGCCGCCAAGAGGGCTGAAGAGAAGGCTGCCCGAGAGGCTGAGGAACAAGCGGCCCGGGAAGCTGAGCAAGCGGCCAAGGAAGCCGAGGAGCAAGCTGCTCGGGAGGCGGCAGAGGCCGCTGCGATCGCCAAGGAAGAGGAAGAACTCGCCTACCTCCTCGAAAAGAAAGCCAGGTCGTATAAAGGAAAGATGCTCAACCAGGCAGAAGAGCGGCTGGCCGAGTTGCAGGCGAATGCCCAACGGCGGGCTGAAGAGAAAGCGGCACGGGAAGCTGAGGAGCAAGCAGCCAGGGAAGCCGAAGAGCGAGCCGCACAGGAGGCGGCAGAAGCTGCCGCAATCGCCCAAGAGGAGGAAGAGATTGCCCTTCTACTCAAGAAGAAGGCAAGCTCCTTCAAAGGCCTGTCAAGCAAAGCCGAACAACGGTTGAAAGAGTTGCAGGCCAATGCGGCAAGGCGATTGAAGGAGAAGGCCGACCGAGAGGCTGAGGAGAAGGCCGCTCTGGAAGCTGAGCAGGCGGCCAGGGAGGCAGAAGAGCGGGCCGCCCAGGAGGCCGCAGAGGCTGCAGCGATCGCACAAGAAGAGGAAGAAATGGCAGCGCTCCTCGACCGAAAGGCCAACTCATTCATGGGCTTGTCAAGCAAAAATCAGAGGCGTTTGGACGAGCTTCTGGCAAACGCTGAGCAGCGGGCAGCTCGTAAAGCCGAAGAACAAGCTGCATACGAAGCAGAACAAGCTGCAAAGGAGGCAGCAGCCATCGCCGAAGAGGAAAAGGAACTGGCCGATCTGCTGCACAAAAAGGACAGGAAGGGCAAGCTGTCGAAGAAGGACACTGAACGATTGACTCATCTTCGAGACAACGCGGCGAGAAGAAAGGAAGAGCAGGCCGCACGCGAAGCCGAGGAAGCCGCCAACGCCAAGCAAGACGACGACGATGGAGACGAGGATGCCCTTGAAGATGGCGATCACGCTAACGACAATGATGACGATGATGTCGACGCCGATGATGACAACGAGGATATTGATGCCAACGACGAAAAAGAGGCCATCCGCCTGGCTGAAGAAGAAGAGGCGGCCCGCGAAGCCGAGGAGCAAGCAGCCCGAGAGGAAGAGATGAGGGCTGCTCGCGAGGCTGAGGAAAAGGCCGCACAGGAAGCTGAAGAAGCCGCGAGAAAACTGAAGAAGAGCTCCAAGAAAGACAAGAAGGACAAGGACGACAAGAAGGATAGGAAGGACAAGAAGGACAAGAGGTCTCGGGATCTCCCGTCCGAACCTGAAGCGGAGCCGGTTGTAGTGGAGGAAAAGGCAGAAGCAGGGACCAAACCGTTCCCTGATTTCGACTTGAGCCCTGCTGAGATTGAAGAGCTGCTTGCGCCCAAGGAGAACAACGCATCAGGTGCGTTCAGCTTCTGGGGCCTAGGCGGCAAGAAGTCGAAGCCCAAAGGTTCGTATTCCTTCACATCTTCGCTCCGTTCCACCTTCTGGCTTCGCCGCCAGCGTGCTGGTTGACGCATTGAGGATTCATGGCTGACATTGCAACATCAGAGGAACCAGAGACTCGGTCGGTTGAGGATACGTCTCTGAAATCCTCAGAGCAGCCGAAATCTGTCGGCGGTAGAATCGCCCAAGGCCTCAAAGCTTTCCATGAAGAACCGGAAGAAGTAGCCGATCCCGCCCATCCACCAACCCCCCCACCGGCATCAGACTCGGACAAAGAAGAGGAACCCGCGGAAAGACAAGACAAAGAAGCGGCAGATGATGAACAGGTGGCTAGAGAAGAACCAGCAGCTAACTTTGAACAGGCAACCGAAGCTTTGCAGTATGGAGAGGATGTAGAAGAACAGCCAACCGCTAAGAGGGAGCCCCCACGAGAAGATCGTACCCGCCGACGGAGAAAGGTGGAGGAGCCCATCATCGCGGCAGACAGAGACCTTCCAAGGAGGCACCGTAGGGTCTCTGATGTTCCAGGTACCTTCCCTGACGAGGATGACGAAAACGAGATTGTTGCCATCGTCGATGAAGGTCCAAGAAGAGAGAAAGACAGCGCAAAGCGGCACAAAAAGCGACGTCCCAGAGAGGATATGGCAGTACCGTCTCCTCCTCCTCCAATGGTCCCGATGCCGCCTCCTCCTCCACCTGCGGTTCCTGATCCGCCCTTGACGCCGCCCCCGGAGCCGAAAACGTCCAGAAAAGAACGGTCGAGATCCAGCCGAGAAAAGGAGAAGTGGCCCGCGGTGGAATCCCCTCCACGCAGGGAAAGGGAAGAGAAGAGATCGTCGAAGCACAAGTCGGAAAAGTCGTCCAGACGGGCACTCGAAAAGACGTCCTCCAGAGACTCCACTTCAGACAGGGTGGAGCGATCGGAAAAGCCGTCAAGATCATCAGGACGAGACCGAGTTTCGGGAATGTTCAGCGGTAACCCCCCAACTCGATCAATGTCAATGCGAGAAAAGGAGAAGCGACCGGGTATGAATGGGAGCAGCAAGCCGTCCCGGAGACACTCCGTCCATACCCACGGTCTTGCTTCCCCCCCTCCAGAAGAGGTCCTGACGTCAAAGGCGGCCAAAACTCTCGGCTTCGACAAATCGGGCTCAAAGAGGAGATCTCGCAGGCCCCAGGATGATGAGGATATTGTCATGACGGGCGCTCTCGATGCAGATGCCGACGCTGATGCCCACGCGCCTCACGGACACGAGAGACATAGAAGCAAAAGATCCCGCGATGAGGACATTCTCCCAGTGGAGCCTCCCAGCCCGGAGCGGCCAGACAGGCGAGGAACGTCAGCTTCCAAGAAGACCGGGCTGTCTGGGCTATTCAGCGGCTTCATGACACCCAGAGCGTCCAAGGTTGAGACGGGGGTAGACTTTGATGTGCCTATGGCGGACACTGATCGAGAAGGTCCTCGAGTATCAAGCCGGAAGACCAGAAAGTCAGAGCGAGAAGCAGAGCGGCCTTCTGAGGACCGCGAACGGAGACGGAAGCGCAGAGACGATAGCGAGACCCGCAAACTTGAAGAAAAGGAGGCCCGGCGTGAACGCCGTGCTGCTCGCCAGCGCGAGGAAGAGGAGCGGCGCGCGGCGGACGAGCGAGAGGCTCGGAGGGCTGAGCGGCGCCTTCGTAAAGAAAGAGAGAAGGAGAAGGAGCGGGAGCGGGAGAGGGAGAGGGAGAGGGAGCGAGAAGAAGAGGCTGCGAGAGCAGGCAAGCGGCAGCGTCGCAGATCGCATGCCGATCCAACCGATGATGAAGCTGCTGAGCGCCAGCGTAGACGAGAAGCGAAACGTGCCGCAAGGGCTGCTGAGGAAGAAGCGGCGGCGGCGGCAGCGTACCGGCAGAGGAAGAGCAGTCGTCGATATACCGAACCGACGACGGATGACCATGTCTACCCGGCCAAGGAACGTCGACGTGACGGCAAGAGAGCAGCTCCGGCGGCTTGGCCACACTCCGGAACGTCGTCATGGGTTAAGGAGCATTCTGACCCCCCTCCGCATCACGATGATGCTGGACATACGACAGATGCGATGCCGCATACTGAAGACGAACATGCCCGACGAGAGGCGCGGCGCGCAAGGCGGAGAGCCAAGCAAGAAGAAGTGGCCGTGGAAGATGCAGACGAGAAGCGCCGGCGAGAGAGGCGCGAGCGACGAGAGCGGGAGAAGCGCAATGGCCCATCTGAGGGCAGCGATGAACGCCATCGCAGCCGACGAAACTCTGCGGCGGCAGCAGAGCCGGCGCCTCGAAGCAGCTGGTGGAGGAGGTTTGGCTGAAGCTGAGAGTCGCATGAAACCATGAGCGAGCGAGTTTGGCTTTTTTTTTCCTTTTCCCTTGATTCTTCTTCTTCTCTCTCTGATTTCTTCGTCCCTTGTTCACGATTTTTGTCATCTGTCTGTTGTCTTGTCGATTTTCACGATGAATATCTCATGCCGAATCATACCTAGTAGTACTACAGGTCTGCCGATTCTTTCCGGGATTTCGGAGACGCCCTGCATGGAAGCCAGTCCATCCAGGATATCTTGAGTCATCTCCGCCTTGTCACAGTGTAAGATGGAGAAGATGTTTGTTTCGGTTTGCTTTTTCATTACCCTGTTCGTTGACGACGTTGATATGATTAATGTACGAAGGGCTGGAGGAAATTTCTTTTTGGGATTCTGGCTGCTTGGAACGGAGGTGTCTGTTTTGTATCCCTAGTCATGAGATGATGAATGCTGCAAATTGCCTCGCATACGTTGGGTTTGTTTTATCTTGCATATGCGCAGGTGGGTATTCCGGTAGCCCTCAGATTTTTTTTATCGAGTCTCTGGCTCGCAGAATTACATCAATTGTCATTCCAAGGAAGATGTGCCTTGTGCAGTAGCGCAATTTTGTGGTTTGGGTGTAATACTTGTATCGGGCAAACGGGCCGTTGAGGCTATACGGTCGATATCGAGTCAATGGCGTTGAAGTATACGGAGGACGATGGTAGGTTGTATATGAGGCGGCTGAGTAGAGGGGACATTGGATGGGAGGTACTGGCGAGAGCAAAAGAACCCGTGGCACGGAGTACAAGTAGGTAGTAGAAGCAGAAGCAGAGCAGATGCAGATGCAATGATATGTTTGGTTTTTATTTGCTGCACGTTGGATTGGACGGATGAGGTTGGAGGAGTGCGGTTGTTCCCCACCCTTGGCTGTGTGTTGTCGATAACGTAATTTGGACAGATTGGAGAAGCAGGATATCGATCAGTGAGAGCTTTGATATGGAGAGAGAGTGTGTGGCAGTGTCTGATGAATGAGGAATGTTTGGGGTTCATGAGCATTTGTGAATGTCATCATGATAGTCTGGACACCGCACGATCTATCTAGCATCGGTCTACTATATTTCTTTAGTAAGGCAGTAGGCAGTACATACTACGGATATGTGCTAGCAGATTGATTAGATGACCCAAACTAACAGCTTAGCGGTACCTCGTACTAAGTACATGTAGTAGACGCAACCGGACAGTGTTTCTTTGTACGCGTGTCAGCTTTCCCCAGAAGAAACCTCGGAGGAGCACTTGATACTACATTCATCCACCCCCGGCAAAAAGAGAGAGGAAAGGGTGGCATGTTGTAGAGTACGAGGGAAGAAAGAGGGGCCGGAAAGAAGCTGGAAGATTGCCGGATCGGATTCTCAAGGCTTAACGTCAATTAAGCGCTTGGGGGTCCAGCAACCCGGCTTTTGTTCGCCCGACTACCTTACATCAATTGCCAGTTTTGGTTGGGGAAAGACGAAGACGAGAGGAGGCCTGAAAGGAAGAAAAATCACCGAACAGAGGGGGGGAAACGTGTTACGCATACGCCATATTGTCCCGCATCTTAACGCCCTTGTGCCTCCAGGGGCCGAGGGGGAAAAAGCGAATACTAGCGAAGCGGCAGCGAATCCTCGGTTGATCTTCTTGTTTCTCAACGCACACGAGAGCATCTTGAACCTGCGGGTGATCTACTGGAACCATGGCTGCGTCCGGCAAGGGGGCGTCGCGATGGGGCTCGTTCCTGCAGCAGGCCGTGGCCGGAGTTGAGTCGCGCTTGGATACGATTCTGGCCGAGTCGGACGACGATCGGGGGGCGGCGCAACCTGCTGCGACGACGACGACGACGACGACGACGACGACGACAAGCGCAGCCAGCGCAAAGGCGTCGAGTGCTGGTAAGTCGCTCTACAAGACGGGAGGGCAAAGAAGTGCTGGGGAATCAGAGGAGGAGGAGGGGGTGGAGTTTGGAGGGAGGGGAAGGGAGCATTGAGAAGAGACATAGTTCCGCTAACCAAGAGACATGGTCCCAGCAAACTCCCGAGCGTCGTCGACGAATCGCGCAAATGACCGGCTGCAGGCGAGGCTGGCCAAGGCCATGGCGGGCAAGAATGCGCCGACGGCGGCGGGCGTCGATAGGGCCAGCGCCTCGCCGCGCAGCTCTGTCGATGTAGCCAGTCGGAGTTCCACGGAGAGGCCGTCGATGGACAAGGCGGAGGCCGAGAAGCAGGCTGAGACCGAGACCGCGGCCGAGTCCACGCAGACGACTGCCGATTCGGCGACTACTGCTACCTCTACGACTTCGACGGCGACGACGATACCGATACCGATCACGATCACGGACGGGGATACGGCCGCTGAGGTTGCGGTGCAGACAGCTCCCGAAGAGGCAAAAGAAAAGGACCCGGCGTCAGGGCCTCGCGTACAACAAGAGTCGGAAGAGGCGCCCTCAAAAGAAGACGGGACTGCTTCGCTACCACCAGGCAAGGACGGAGCCTCAACAGAACCCAGTCATGGAGCTACGGAAGTGGTAGAAAATGGCGTCGACGTGTCCGAACTGGCCCGAGAACTTGAGGAGGCCAAAAAGCAGCATCGGGAGGAGATACAAGAGTACATCGAGCGGATAGACTCCCTGCAGTCCAAGCTCCAGTACCTCTCCAAGACGGCCGCCGACGCAGCAAAAGAGGCCGCATCTTCGGCTCCTCCCGGCAGCCTCGAGAAGAAACTAGCAGAAAAGGACGAGCGGATCGCGCTGCTGATGGAGGAGGGTCAGAAACTGGCCGGCGCGGAGCAAAAGTACCGAGCGACGATCAAGACGCTGCGGCTGCAAATCGGCGAGCGGGACAAGCAGCTCGACGAGGCGCGGAAAGCGAGGGACAAGGCGGCTTCGGAAGCCGAGGCATTGCGCAAACGCTTGGACGGAGATGAAGAGAAGGAAAGGCGGCAACAGGAGGCGATCAAGGCCACTGCGGCCCTGCGGAAGGAGATTGACGGTCTGAAGAAGGAAAACAGCAGCAAAGACGCGGCCATTCGCCGGCTGGAGCAGGAAGTCAAGGCCAAAGAGGAGCAAGGCGAGGCTGCCAAGGCTGATGCCCTGAGCAAGGCGATAGCCGCAGAGCGAGCGAAGCAGAAGGAGCTCGAGGAGGCCAACGCCGCCCTCAAATCCGAATTGGAGGCTCTGAGCGAAAAGGCCCGACTGGACGCCATAGAATGGGCGGAGAAGCACGAGCGCGCGATCCGGCGTGGCAGCGCCATCGAAGCCGAGCTACGGCTCGAGCTCCAGAACATGGAGCGCAAGCTGGAAGTCGTGCGGGTGACGGCGGAAGAGGCCGCGTCAGGCACAGGCGGCGAGGCCCAGGTGAAGCTGTTCCGGCAGATTGAGACGCTGCAGTCCCAGTACGCAACGGCCAGGCAGAACTGGCAGGGCATTGAGGCCTCCTTGATGGCCAAGACGACGAGCCTGGAGAGGGAGAGGGACGAGGCCGAGCGCCGAGAGTCGGAGATGCGTAAGAAGGCGCGGGATGCGGTGAGCTTAACTGGATATCCTCATACATCATCCGTTGTCAAAACACTCCTGCTAACTGTGATATCTTCCCCCTCATAGGCCAAACGCAGCAGAGCCTTGGAAGATGAGCTGCAAGACGCTCAACTGCAGCTGGAGGCTTGCCGTGAGGAGCTGGCCGCCCTCAAAAAGTCGACCAAGGCCACAGAAGCGGCCCTCGAACAAGTCCGCGCCGAGCTCGACAAGGAGAAGCGAGCAGCGAGCAGAAGCTTTTCGAACGAGTCGGGACGGCAGTGGGTCGACGAGGTCGCAGGGGCGACATCGCGGATGCAGAGCCGTCCAGAGTCGCCGCTGCTCTCCGTGCCGCGGACGTTCAGCTCCGAGGCTGTTGGCCTGTCCGTGCCCCCCAGCCGCATACGACGATCCCCTACGCCCGTGAGCATCGCGGACAATAACGCAACAGAAGGGCTCGGCATTCTTCGGCGGCCTCCGCACATGCCGACTCGTACAGGGACAGGGACGTCGTCCATTACGGGATCCATTCCTCCCACGCCTTTCTCGCCTCTCGAGCCGCCCCTGGGATCACCTCCCGCGATTCCCCCCTCCGTAACGGAGAGGGATAGGGAGAACGGGATCAGCGACGATACAGCCCCCTCTTCGCCTCAGAACATTGCGCAGGACATGATTTCCGTGTCGACGGTGGCGGCGGGGCCGTCCGTGCAGCTGGTGGAGAGGATGAGCGCCGCGATCCGCCGCCTGGAGGCCGAACGAGTGGCCGCCAAGGAGGAGATGGCCCGGGTGTGCAGCCAGCGGGACGAGGCGAGGGCGGACATGGTGGGCCTGATGAAGGAGCTGGAGGAGGCCAAGGCGGCGACGGCGAGGGTGCGGGAGCTGGAGAAGGAGGTGGCCGAGCTGGACACGCGGTACCAGACCACGCTGGAGCTGCTGGGGGAGAAGAGCGAGCTGGTGGAGGAGCTGAGGGCGGATGTTGACGATGTCAAGGCCATGTATCGGGAGCTGGTGGAGCGTACGGTCAAGTAAGTAAGTTTACGAATCTGGGTCGGCGGATAGATATAGAAGGGGAGGTGAAGACGAAAAGGGGGGGAATAAGTAATGAAGCGCAATGACTTGAAATGACGGTTACGGCGCACAGCTGTAGATTAGAAATTGTACATTTTTATTTTTATTTGCTTGCATTTGATCTCATTTCAATCTTGCTTCATGTCGGCACACAGTTAATGCTACCAGATGTACGCTGGCTCATCATCCCCTTCGGATAACTAGTCGACCAGCGAGATGCCTTCCCTCTCCGCGCCCTGGATGATGAACTGACGGACCTGGTTGCGGGCAGAACGTCAGTCTACTGTGTTGTGAAGAAATGCATCACAGAAGGAATACTTGCCTCTTTGTCCGGGGCCAAGTCAATGGCCAGCTCGCCTTCGTTGTTCTTGAGTGTGAAGTCGGCTTCTTCCTTTAGCAGAGCGACGGCTGTGTCTCCTATAACACACAACACATCACATACATACAACATGTCAGTTTCAACTCTGATTACACAGCAAGATCATCTTCAAAATACCAGATGCCATCAAACCAGACGAAACAGAAAAGGGGGAGTGTGAAAAAAACGCAAATACGCACCATGACCTTCGGCAACAGCATGATGGAGCGGCGTGAAGCCCTCGCTGTCCGCGGCGTTCAGGGGGCTCCTGTTGCGCAGGAGGAGCGTGACCATGGGCACGGAGCCGACGGCGGCGGCGCGGTGGATGGGGTACTGGCCGCGGCGGTCGCGGACGCGGGTCGAGGCCGGGGGGGTGGCGGCGAGGAGGAGGCGGGCGACGTCGAGGTTCTTCTTGGAGGCGACGAAGTGGAGGGCTGACTGGGGGGTGGTGGTGGTGGTGGTGTTAGTTTCCTTGGGGAAGATGAGGGAGTGTGGGTGTTGTGGCGGTTGTGATAGGGGGGGTTGGAATCCGTATGAGCTGTTTGAGATGACTTTGTGTTCTTTCTGGTCGAGAAAGGGGGCAGAGAAGGAACTGGATTTTGGGGAGGATGGGGGGTTGCTGGATTTACTTGGCCGTTATTGTCTGTTACGGGGTGAGCTTGGTTAGAAGATGCCTTGGATCAAGAAGGTTGAGAGGGTGAGCTTACTCTTGATATTGACGTCTGCGCCTCTTGAAAGGAGCAGATTCAACACTGGCTCGCTGTTCGGCACACTCGCTGCGATCATGAGGGGCGTCCAGCCGCTGTCGTCCTGTGAGGAGTGTGAGCGACAGATGTCGAGTGAGGCCGAGGGGAATGTTGTCTGGTCTTCTATGACGCTATGATAGCCTGGTTCCGACGAAGCTGGGGAAAGCAAAGGGGTCTGCTGTACCTGGATATCCGGATCAAAGCTTGCTTGGTTGGCCAAGAGGAGGACAATCTCGTGGCTGTTGGAAGAGGCTGCCCAGTGGATCGCATATCTGCCGTCGTCGTCCTTGCGCTTTGAGAGCTTGGGGTCCGTCTGTGAGAGGTTGGTTGGTATGATGAAGCTTCATGCTTTGAACTTGATCCTGGATAGAATAGAATAGAAGCCCATATAAGTTGACTCGCTGCATACCTTGAGAAGGCCTTCAGCTGCGGCAACTGCGGACGTGACATTTGATGTCAGCTGTGGTGTTGCTCTTGAGTTGAGATCTGAATGGGAATCACCTCTGCCTTCTCGCGCGGCCGTGTGTAGAGGAAAGCGATCGGTTTCCGTATCAGCCATGGCGGCGATGGCTTTTGTCAAGGCTGTATAACTGCAAGGAATCAAAGAAAAAAAAGATACAGCAACTAGTCAGAGTAGAGAGATGTGCTTGGTACCGGGAAGGTAAACGAAGTTGATTGTGATTTGGTGAACAATCGCCAGTTTCTACAGGGTAAGGCGAGAATGAGAATGGCTCAAGTGACTGCAAAGCTTCCAGGCGACTGCAGTCTTGCGTCAGGTACCGGGTACAAGATGGATGTACCTTTGTTGCGCCACAACCTGGAAGGTTTCTTGAGCAAAGACCCGCTGCGCCACAGAAGGCTGAACGGATCTCAATTCCAACTTCGCCTTCTCTAGCTTATCGCGTTTGGCTCTATCTATGTAGTCTACTAGACGCTGATTTTCGACGTTGACATCTCGTCCTTCTCCTCCTCCTCCTCCCTCCTTCAATCTCCACACAGCACATCGCAATGGAGGCGCCACAATCACCCCAAGACGCGCTCCGCCTCGGCGCGCTCGCGTCACAAAACGCCGCCTCGACGAGGCATCTCTACGCGCGCCTCGAGCTGGCCAACGGCAAGCGCCAGAAGCTCGAGGGCGTCTTCCAGGACCCCGTCATGAAGCGGCGCTTCGAGGCCGAGTACGCCGCCGTCCAGACGCTGCCCGAGGCCCTCGCGGCGAAGCAGCCGGGGCGGAAAACAACAGCAACAGCAACAGCGACAGTAAAGACACCAGCGGCGAAAGCGGGACCGGCGCGCAAGACACCGAAGCTGCTCGAGGCGGGACCCGGCGGCGCTGCACCATCATCATCATCATCATCATCGAAAGCTACTACAGCGACGACGACCGGAGGCGGATCAAAGACACCATCATCAGCGGCGGCGCGGCAGAACATGAGCCTGACGGTCAGGGGAGCGCCGGCCATGCAGCAGGTCAAGCCCGAGTGGCACCCGCCGTGGAAGCTGATGAGGGTCATCTCGGGGCACCTCGGCTGGGTGCGCAGCCTGGCCGTCGAGCCGGGCAACAAGTGGTTCGCCAGCGGCGCCGGCGACCGCACCATCAAGATCTGGGACCTGGCGACGGGCTCGCTGCGGCTGACGCTGACGGGCCACATCAGCACCGTCCGCGGCCTGGCCGTCTCGCCGCGGCACCCCTACCTCTTCTCCTGCGGCGAGGACAAGATGGTCAAGTGCTGGGACCTCGAGACCAACAAGGTCATCCGCCACTACCACGGCCACCTCAGCGGCGTCTACACCCTGTCCCTGCACCCGACGCTCGACGTCCTCGTCACCGGCGGCCGCGACGGCGTCGCCCGCGTCTGGGACATGCGCACCCGCAGCAACATCCACGTCCTCTCGGGCCACACCGGCACCGTCTCCGACGTCAAGTGCCAGGAGGCCCCCCAGGTCATCACCGCCTCGCTCGACTCCACCGTCCGCCTCTGGGACCTCGCCGCCGGCAAGACCATGGGCGTCCTCACCCACCACAAAAAGGGCGTCCGCGCCCTGGCCGTCCACCCCGCCGAGTTCACCTTTGCCACGGGCAGCACCAACAGCATCAAGCAGTGGAAGTGTCCCGAGGGCGCCTTTATGCAGAACTTTGAGGGCCACAATGCCATTATCAACACGCTGAGCGTCAACAGCAACAACGTCTTCTTCTCAGGTGGTACGTATTTCTCTACCTTTCTCTCTCTCTCCCTGGTTTCTCTATCGAAGACGGGGAGTAAAACTGCGACACTACTTTTGAATCTAACGGTTGCAAATTCTGCAGGCGACAACGGCTCAATGAGCTTCTGGGACTGGAAGTCAGGCTACCGCTTCCAATCCTTCGAGACAACCGCACAGCCCGGCTCGCTAGACGCAGAGTCAGGCATCATGAGCTCGACATTTGATCGCTCCGGCCTGCGTCTCATCACAGGCGAAGCCGACAAGACGAGTATGTGACAAATTCCCACCCCTTTCAATTGCAAATCGACGAAATTCGTATGCTAATATTCTCTTTTTTCGAATAGTCAAAATCTGGAAACAAGACGAAAAGGCGTCCGAGGAGACGCACCCCATACAGTGGACGCCGTCATTGGCACACAGGAAGTTTTAAGCCAGGAGTTTTTTTTTTAATGGAGTACCTCGTTTTGCAAATTGTCAGATCTTTTGCGCCGGCTCTCGAGAAATCACAGGCGGATAACAATGTATATTTACGAGATTTTTTTATATTTTGGTTTCTTTGGACGGACATGTTTGCACGAATCGTCGGATTGCCTCATGTCGATTGGAATTAAATGAGATGATTGCGCCATGGTTTTTGTAAAACTCAAAAAGAAGATGCCGATGCTCCTCAAACCAACATGCTGTTATAAACCAAAGGTTCTAGATGTAGAAAACGACAAGAAAAAAACAACAGTTACAACATAGTAAGAGTCATGCCAAAGCTCATTCTTTTTCCATCGTCATGCCATCATCGCTGATATCCAAACCCGCCTTGTCCTCTGAAAGCATTTCAAATCATATCAATGTGAAGGGAACCAAAAGTGTATAACGCATATAAGTGTGATGACCTTGTCCCCTTCAAACGCTCAGACCCATGGCCTTGAGATCGGCGTCATCCCGCAGCGCCATCTTGACCTCGTCATCCGCAATGGCCAATCGCAGCCTGCTCGATCGGTCCGCACGATGGGCCTCGAGGTTGACCAAGCCAGCGGCCACCAGCTCCAGGGCGGCCGTGTGGATGTACATTGGCCGTCCCACCAAGCGTCGGCCCACGACCTGAGTTCCTTTGGCGAGACCGGGGAGTATTTGGGCCATGCCCGGAGGAGGTCTGGCTCCAAAGGCGGCCACGCGCTGAAGCTCATCCAGAGTCTCCCCCAGCGTCGTTTCAGCCAAGCCGCTTCGTCTGATCCTGAGAAGCAGTGCTGCCATGAGCATCTTGGACGTCAGCGGGAGGCCACGCAGATGCTGCTGGATCGGGTTCGTCGTGGCCTCATTGATGGCCCTCTTGATGGTGGAGATGGTGACCCTTCCGCGTTTGGACTGCTCAGGGGCCCCGTTGTCGTGGGCTCTCCTGCTCGGCGTCGTGGGATCGCCGGGAGCATCGCTTTCGGCAAGCTCGACAGCGCGCCGGCAGATGTCCAGGGCTCGTCTGGCGTCTCCGCTGACGGCAGCGACTTTTCGACTGGCAAACTGGACGGCATCCGCGTCGACGATGTTCCCCGGGACGCCTTCAAGACGAGACTGGATGATCTTCATGAGCTGCTCGTGGTTGTAGCCCGGAAATGTGATTCGAGTAAGGCCTATTGAGAAGGTTAGCTCATCTTACTCTTCCCCATTGTACTAGCCTCTAGTGACGCACCCAGTCGACTACTGATCTTGTTGCTCAGAGTTCTCTCTGGAAGATCCATAGTGTTGGCTACTGCGAGCACAATCAGACGGCTGTGTCGGAGGGTTGGCCAGTTGAAAAAGTTGTACATGACGGCCTGGTTCTTTGTGACCAGCTGATCAAGCTCATCCATCAACACCACGCACGGGATGCGTCTAGGGCTGGGATTGTTGAATTCCCGCTCCAGCAGATCGAGGGCTTGGGCAGGGCTGGCACGCTCCCCGTTGAGCGCCTCCCAGAGCAGCGAGTACGCTTGGTGAGGATCCGTAATCTTCATGCCGTTGATCTCGACAAAGATGAAGTCGTCAAGCTCGTCCAGCCAGACGCCTTCCTCGAGACGGGAGATGACTTCTCGTACCGTCGCCGTCTTTCCGGTGCCTGGCGTTCCGGAAATGTAGATGCAGTTGCCGGTCCCCTCGGTGATGGCAGCCTCCAGATGTGAGTATACAAGCGAAAACTCCCCTTCACGACATGGCAGACTCGAGGGCACTGCCGCAACGTGGAGGCGTGAGCGGGCTATCTGGAACGGAGAAGACTGGACCTGGCTCGGCGACAGCTTCCGTGTGGCCAATGGCGTGAATTCGAGCTTCTTTCCGCCGCTCCTTGGCCCTCTCTTCGACTTGGGGGTTGTAGCAGAGTTTCTGCCAGTCTTTGTTGGCGTCTGAGGCGGCAGGTATGCGTCTTCTTTTGGCGGCGGTGATGGCGCTCGAGTTCTGCGACGGGTTGGCCGGGTGCCCTTGTCGACCATTTCCAGCAGTGCAGGCACATCTTGTCCGTTTTGATACACCTCCTCCCACACAAACTCGTCCGTGTATGTCGTTGATCGGGTGTTGCAGCCGCGCCGACAGACAAAGGTCTTGCCATAGTCGGGAGAGTTGCGCGGGATCTTGCCAGAGGGGTACGCGCGGAGGAAGGCTTCGAGGGACATGATGGTGGCTTTTCCGTCGATCGAGGCGAGGGGGTTAACGTCGCAAGATGGCGATATGTAGAGCTCATTCTGAATAATTCGTCAAGCACTGTCACGGCGATACAAGGCGAATGATGCAGCGGTGGCTGTACTCACCCAGTAGAAGTCCTTGCGTTTCTTGTCCTTGTTGGGAATCTCCTTCTCCGTCGAAAACCACATGAAATTGGCGGCCATGCCCTCGACGGCATCGTCTTCCCGGAAGTCGCAGATAATGGCCACCCACGTTCCACTGGACCCATCGGCCTTGAGCATCACCGTGTCTCCAACGCGGCACTCAAAGTCGCCATATCGAGCGCCGACAATCCTGGAGCTGCCTGCGACTTTCCTCCTCTTTCGATTACCACCCTCAACCTCGTCTTCGCCGTGCTCTGACTGGTCGCTGCTGTATATCCATTCCCAAGCCAGCTGCTCGCTTTCGGCACTGCCGTCGTCGTCGTCGTCGGAAGCCTCGTCTAGGGCGGCGGTGGAAAAGGCCCGTTTGCGCCCGCGGGTCGAAGGAGTGTCGAGCTGTGTGTTGGCTTGGGCGGGCATTGACGAGGTGACGATGTTTATCTAGAGTTGCGGAGATTCCAGGTTAAAGACTGGGTGATACCTGTGCAATGCAATATCGTTGAGGTGAGTGATGGGGTTTTGATGTGAAATTGTTTGTGGAATACAGAGCTTCCCTCACTACTGCTGCTGCATCATGGTAACAGGGTAGCTTGATCAATTAACGCGTCTCGGGTAGCTCTTGGTGAGACGCGTCGACATGACTCGATAGATGCGTAATTTCTCATTGATGCATAAGACACTCCAATCCACAAGCTCAGTTGCTTATAGGTAAGGTACGTTTGGTACGACGTCACAATGTGTATCTAGGATGGTCTCAGTATTCATTGATGAATGAAATGCTAAATGAATGCCCAGTTTCCTCCAAAATATGCCAATGAGAAGAATCATTCACCCACTCCACCAGAGAGAAATGGTGCCACAACTACTGCAAACAGTTACTGGCATCTCGACATCAGGGTTGAGAACTTGCAGCCAGCATGTCTTTGCAAGGCCATCATGGCCAAGAAAGAGCAAAAGCGATGCGAACAGAACTTCTGGTCATCATCAGACGACGTAACCTGACACACCGTGTTACAAACAAGCAGTACATGCTCCGTTGCTTGCATGAGCCTTGACGGCAGCGTGCATGTACGTGCACTTTGATGGTCACTGCCTGACCGATTCACTGCTGCTCGAATTGTGCGCCTTAATGCACGAGTTCCTGCACACCTTCCTTTCACTTCTCTCACCGACAGCGGTTGCCTCAGGCAAGGTATAAGAGATTATATAACCCCAGCCAGCCTGGACCCGATTCACCTGTGCTTAATCTCCCTTTTCAGATCGTCAAGTCTCTTCCACTCCTCCATCTTGAACTCTTTGGGAGTAACTTCTTGACAGCAGAGTGCCTTGGCAGCTGATTCAGAATTGTGACCTCGCCAGTCCAATAGGCAACAAAGATACAGACCAACAGCATGAACAAAGGCAAGGGTCGAGATACTCCGTGGCCTCCCAGAGATGGTTCTCCTAGCAAAGGCTCTACCAGAAATGGCCGCCCCAGAGATTGGACTCCCAAAAAGGGACGTTCTGGCTCTCGTGGACAGTCTCAACGCCGACAGCAAGAAGGGACGAGGAAACCATGGGCTTCGCCTCAAAAGATGGCATCTGCCAAAGCTCAAGTGAATGACAAGCGCTTGGTCGCCGAAGTTGCCGGAAAGGGAGACTACTCTGACGAGCCACCTGCCGATCTGGATCTGATACGGGTAAGTTGTCAATCGTCTCCCTACCTTGTTCTCTGCGCCCCCCGTAAGGATTGCTCAACACTTGCTGACTCTGCATGAGGCGCGAGTTGTGCTCCCCCCCAGCTGGCTCATCTACCCGTCTGGACTCGAGCTGCCGGAAACGCTCAACGACATCCGCGAACGATACCAAGTGTGGATTGTCAGCTTGGAAAGCACACAAGCATTCGACATCTACAGTGAGTCGATATCCCGGCTGCAGGATGCCGTCACTGCCTTCAACCAGCTCGTGCACGATCTGCGTCTGCGCAAAGAACTTCTCGCCGAAGTGCTCATCGTCCAGCACTGCTCCAGGGCAGACAAAGACACCCGGATATCAATCAAGCTCGACTCAAGACCCGAGGTGATGACTCCACTGCTTGGACCCCATGATATACCGGCGATCTCAGCGGCGCTCCTCGAAACCCTTCGTCCCCATCTCATCAACTCTACAGAGTGTTTGTTGAGTCTTAGCTCTGATCTCAGGATGCGTGTCAACTTTGGAATCTTAAAGGCGGTACGGAGAAAGAAGGAAATACCTGAAGTGGTCACCTACGACGAGTTTGTGGAGGCGGCGAAGACGTTTTCGATTCGCGGAGGCATTGGCCTACATGACAGGTAACTCTCACAAACTGGCCTTTCATTTCATCTTCCTGACCGGGTCTCAAGATTCTCCGAGATCAAGCTCTCAAACCACATCATCAAGCACTTGCTGGCTTTGGACGGTAACGGTGGTGTTCGCTTGGTAAACGACACTGTGAGACGCGCGTACTCGTTGACGCTGCGCTTGAACCAGAAGGAAGTATGGCTGGAAGACTGGAACGGAGACGGCGAGGTCGCACTACCCCGGGCCAAGATGCGTATCGCAGTGCCAACCAGCTACCTCAACTGGGTGATGGCCGCCCCAGACATGTAAGTTGCGCACGAAGAATCGCCGAGCATACCAAGCGTGTTAACGTAAACCGTGTCAGGAGAATCGACTGGGGCCTCAAGGCCGATGAGTACGATGTGGAGGACGTACCAGAGGACCTCCATGGCCTCATCAAAGAGCTGAAGCTCAAGCCAGCCAGATACAAGGACAAGGGCAATTTTCTCAGGCCAGCTGAGGTGATGTTTCCTCGACCTGGGGAGTGGAAAGACCAGATCCAACAAACTCGCTTGAAGACGTCATTCATCGCGGAGATTCACGATACTCCCTATCTGCTCGAGATAAGCATAACCCAGATCTGGGACAAGTACAAGACCAAGGCAAGGCCAAGGACCGTGTGGGGGATGGAGATCTATGGCAAGCACTGGGACTCGGCCATGAACCACGTCGATCCCATTAGCCGGAGAAAGGACTGGGGAGAGGCGCAGAGGAATGTTTGGGTTGGCCGGGATCCAAACATGTGGAAGAGATTCCAGAGCTTCCTTGAAGTCGTGTTACACGTGCAAAAGCATGTGGAGGACATACCACCGCTGACGGAGCAGGATCTTGAGGATACTGAAAGCGAGACCGAAGAGTAGATGCACGGCGAGGGTGGGTTCTGCAGTCTATAGTTGTTCACCGATGGCCAGGAAGGCGCTCAATGCAGTTCGTGATTCAACTTTTTTTCTGATTTTTCGGCTCCGAGCTATGACTCTCAACTTTGACCTTCTGCTTGACTGGCCATGATCTTTTGCCGTAATACTGTCGACGATGCAGCGTTAGTATCTAGGTAGGTAGTCGTGGTGTAACCAAGTGAGACTGGACAGACATACCCTCTTCTATTGTGCGGACATTCATCTGTTTTCTCTGCACGATTCCCTCGAGCTCCTTGAGGCTGCCGCCCACTTCTTTTACCTTTGAGTCGTAGAACTTTTCCGCCGATCTCAGGTTCTGTTGATTGTCAGCGGTCAAGGCACGAGCAGGAGAGTTGTGGAAAGAGGAGTAAACAAGATAGAACAACCTTTTCGATCATGAACCCTGTGCCCACGTCCACCAAGACGGTATCGGTGCTTGTCAACTCGCCGCTGACGTAGAGAGAGTTGGTCAATGGGACCAAGACCGATTTCGAGCCTGTTGTATGTATACCAGTTTAGCCTCAATTTCCCCTTTCTGTTCCCTTCTTGTCTTGTCTTGTATTCTTTGTTTTCTTGCTTCCCCCATTGCTTAAGCACTTGTCTCCCGTCTTCTAGTGCCTTTTTGCAGCGGGCGAGTTGAAAAAACGAGGGTTTGTGTTGTTGATTTGGCATTTCGATCGGGGGGAAGGGCGGCGTAGCGTAGCGGTTTTACCTTTGCTATCGGCGGCGCGAGCCTGGACGCATCGGAGGCACTCCTTGAACTTGTTCTGCGCGCCGTGGAGCTGCGCAAAGGAGGTGGTCAGGTGCTCGAGCTCTTCCTCGAGCTGCTTCTTGACCTGCGCGAGCTGCTGCGGCTCGAGGGTGTCGAGGTTGACTGGAGAAGGGTTTCAAGCCCGACGGTTAGCTCTCATCCTCAGGGCAGAAACAATGGTTTTGTCGTTGAGGATTTGGGGGAATTAATGGGGGGTTTTCCGTTCGTACTTGTTTCTTTTTGGTCGCTCGACATGGCTGCTGGGTTTCGCGGGTTGTCGGATTTTCGGGGAAAGGGGGAGTTGAAGCTTGAAGCTTGGGGCGAAGCTTGGATGGAATGGGATGGGAGGTTTGCTGGAGTTGACCACCGGGAGCCCCTCCAAATGCACCACTGTGGGTGCGGGCGACTTTAGAGGGGCTGCGCGGTGATGCTTGTAACGAGGGCGTTGAATTGACAAGCTTCATGGACGGACTTTTCAACGTTCATTTAGGGCACAATAAATTGTCTTGAAGATTTGTTTTTTTATTTCTATTCTGAGCTTGGCATTTTCTTTTTGATGTTTCCAGGGTTTTTTGTTGAGAGCGGAAAAGTCCGTGGTTGTCATTGCCCTCACAGCCGCTCCAGCAAAGCCGCCACATACCGCGGCACATCGTCCGCTTGGACATTCTCCTTGACGGAGAGCCTCCTGCACTGCACCTCACACTCCCCCCTTTCCCTCCAGGGCTTTCCGAGCACAATCACAACGGGATACCCCGTCATGTCCGCATCCTGCATCTTCCATCCGAACGCCTCCTTGCGATCGTCCAGCACGACGTCCAGCTCCGTCGCAGCGCCTTCACCCTTGGTCAACGAATCGTAGAATTCTAACATCTCCTCGTTGACGCCAGAGGTTGGAATGACCACCACCTCGAATGGTGCAATCGCCCGGGGCCAGTTGAGCCCCTTGTCGTCCGCAAGCTGCTCTGCCACGGCGCCGAGGATGCGGGAGACGCCGATGCCGAAGCAGCCCATCTGGACCGGGACTTGGACTCGTGGGTTCTGCGGGAGGGCGACGGTTGCCTCCAGGGGCGCCGAGTAGCGTGTTCCGAGGAGAAAGGTGTGGCCCAGCTCCAGTGCACGGTGGACCTCGAGTTTGCCTGTCTCGCAGCGAGGACAGCCGTCGCCGTCCATGATGCGTAGCAGGTTGAGCTCCTGCCCGGCGGGAGTCTGCGTTACGGAAGTCTGAGAGATGTGTTCGATCTCGAGACTTGGAGGGTATACGGGGAGCTGGTCGCTAAAATTTTCAAAAGCTGTTACAAGTCTTGAGTCAATGACATTTAAGAGCCGAAGCTCTCCGCTCTTGCCCCCTGGCCCATGTACGGCCTCCTTCCAGAGCGCCCATGCGTCGCTGACGCTGGTATCCAGCCCGGAAACGACAGACTTGACTGCGTGAATGTTCCAGCTGTCGTCAGACGAGGATCCATTTGCCAGACGCGGGTACCACGCATTGACAAGCGTCATCCTGTCCTTTGTGATCCCGCGCCAGAGGCCGAAATCCGAGGGAGAAACCGCGCCCTCGAGCTGCCTCGTCGACCGAGCGGCGGCTACTTCGTCGTTGGCGGTATAGCCGCAAGTGCTGCAGGCCGCGACCGTGTCCTCTCCAATGGCATGGGACAGGTGGTACTCATGGCTGTGCTCTCCGCCCATGTCTCCTGAGCTGGCTTCGGCTACCAGTATGGGCAGGTTCAAGTCTGCGAAGAAGGCAGAGTAGGCGGCAGCGACGTCGCGATAGGTCTCAACCGCCGACTCGACCGTCAAGTCGAAGGTATATAGATCCTTCATGATGAACTCACGAGACCGTAGTAAGCCATGTCTCGGACGGATCTCATCTCGGTATTTTCGTGCTGCAAGGATCAGTCAGAAGCAACGAGGAAATGGGCCGGCTCGTCATCTCATACTGATCTGGTACAGCTTGATGGGCAAGTCTTTGTATGACTTTAGAGTGCTCGCAACCAGGGATGTAATCTCCTCTTCGTGTGTGGGTGATAGCATGATGGGCACCCCTTTGCGGTCAGTCAGCCGGAAGAGCTTGTCTAGTGTTAGCCACGGAACGAGTCGTATCAATTTGTGACGATGATCCTACCTCAGGGGAGACCTTGTCCAGGCGACCACTTTTGCGCCATAGCTCTTCCGTTGTGAGAGTCGAGAGGGCAAGCTTCGAGGCTCCTGAGCATGGGGTCAATCATCGAGTCGACAGTAACCATTGATGATTGGATCATCATGAGACCAACCCAGATTTTGCATGTGCTTGTCGACGAGACGCTCAATCTTATCCTGAACCCGCAGTCCCAGCGGAAGAAGTTGAAAGACTCCGGATTGTGCCTGTGCAAATGATCCAGGTCAACACATCTGTTCTGAACTGACAGATCAAACCATTGTAGCTACTGCTCACCTGGCGTAGGAAGCCAGCTCGGATGAGCTTGCCATGGCCGGCTACGAGGTATTAGCCTCTCACTCCTCAGGGTTTATGTGTAAAGTGTGCCGTACTTTCGCCCTCCGTAGCAGAGACGCCGCCCGTGGGAGCCCATATCTTGGATAATGTTGATCTCAGTCGTATTGACTGAGCGAAAAGAGGCTGAGAGTATGTCCGGATGAGGTTCGAGCTACGAACGGCTTTCAGCTGGTGAAACCCGCCATGGCGGACCGAAGCTGGAAGACGCATATTTAGTGACTTGAAGAGCGATTCATTCTGTATTTTACATATCCTCCGCCATTGATAGAAGAGATTATCGCATCCTGTATGCACTGAGACGGAACCATCACCAATGAGGGAAGCCTGTAGTTGGATTCGGCACTGAGACGGCGGTTCATTCACGCTAGTAGGCGCCCAAGGCATAGCCGCGATAAGCGCCTGCAGTTCTGCGCGGGCAGATAAGATAAGAATCTTTTTTTCTCAGAAAAATTACTGCTGGCTTCGCATCCCGCAGGTTTGATGCTGCCAATTCCCTACACCAAACCAGCCAGCAACATCTCCTCGCCATGGCCAAGCATTCGAAAAAGGCCAAAGGGCCGCAGCGCCCTCACAACGGTGCGGCTGAGCTTCAGAACGGCCTGAGCCAGATCACCTCACAGATCGAGGCGAAACTGAACGGCAATCCCTACAAGCGAAAGAATCCGCCCACGGAAGCCTCTGGGAAGCAGAAGCAGCGGAAGCAGCGCGATTCCGAGGCTGCGCCGCCCGCGAAAGGCTCCAAGCCCGATGACGACGACGCCATTCTGGCCGAGATCAAGGCCCTGGGAGGCGACGAGGATGACTGGCGCCTGATCAACGAGGTCGCTTCGGACGATGAGGCGATTGCTTCCGAGTCAAAGGCGCCGGTAGACAAGCGCCTGAAGGACGAACTGGCAGCTCTGTCAAAGGAGCTCGGCTTTTCTGGACTTGCGCCGGCAGATGCTAGCGACGAGGAAGAAGAGGAAGACGACGAGGATGATGAAGCGGAAGAGGAAGACGACGACGAGGGGGCACAGAACCATATCAAGGCGGACGACAGCAAGAGCAAAACCAACGGCAAGACCAACGGCAAAAACACCAAGGAGCCCAAGGAAAAGGGCCCTGCAGAGAACGACATGCGACGTGTCGAAGGCCTGGTAAGCTGACATCCTCGGGTCTCGGCGGCATCTCTGACAACTAACTCTCAAGTGAAACCAGATCTTCGAGCCGCGCGCAGACTGGCACGCTGCGAGACTCGCCGCCCTGCCGGCGCCTACGGTGGACGATATTGGCCCCTTCATGTCGGCCATCAACTCGCTCAAGGAGCACGGAAAATACCTGCTGGAGACGGAGGCGGCCAAGTACAGAACGACCATCTTTGCGTCCTCGTCCCACAAGTTCCTTGCCACCATCATGACGTCCGGTACTCTTACAGACAAGATCTCCGCTCTCACCCTGGCTTGTCAAGAGTCTCCCGTCCACAACATCCGCGCCTTCGACTCCCTGATGAACCTGGCGTCCAAGAAGAGCCGAGCGCAAGCCATTGAGGCTATAGGGGCACTCGTGGATATGCTTGGGCCTGGCACGCTGCTGCCATCCGATAGGAGGCTGAGGACGTTCCAAGCTCAGCCGGGGCTTCTGGGCTCACTTCAGCGGGCTTCCGTCAAGACCTGGGCGCCAAGCCAGCCGTTGCCTGGGAAAATCACACAAGCACACCTGATATCTTGGGCGTACGAAGACTGGCTGAAGGAGACCTACTTCAAGATTATTCAGCTCTTGGAGGTCTGGTGCTCTGACGAGATTGAGTATTCCCGAATCAAGGCCGTCGACTTCGTCTACGCCCTGCTCAAGGACAAGCCGGAGCAAGAGTCGAACCTCCTGACCCTCCTGGTGAACAAGCTCGGCGATCGCGACCGGAAAATCTCGTCACGGGCCTCCTATCTCCTCCTCCAGCTGCAAAACTCTCACCCCGGCATGAAGCCAGTCATTGTGCGGACAGTGGAGCAGGAGATTCTTCTCCGACCCTCGCAAGACCATCGCGCACGCTACTACGCCATCAACACTCTCAACCAAACCATTCTTTCGAGCAAGGAGCCCGCCGTGGCCGAGTCTCTGCTTCGAATCTACTTTGACCTCTTCGCTACGATCCTCAAGACAGGCAAGCTCGGGATGCCGATAGAAGATGAGTCTGGCAAGGGCAAGAAGCCTGGCAAGGGCCCGTCACCTGGGAAGCAAGCCGGTCAGAGAAAGCCGGCAGCCCCTTCGGTCCCAGAGGCCGAAGCAACTGACAAGCTTGTTTCTGCCCTGTTGACTGGTGTCAACCGCGCCGCACCCTTTGTTGGCACCAACGACATGATGTGAGTGCCTGAATTCAGCAAAGCTACCTATGCAGACTATGGAGGGGATATGCTAACTTTTTCCAATAGTATGGAGCGCCATCTCGACACGCTCTTCAAGATTGCACACTCTTCCAACTTCAACACCGGCATCCAGGCCTTGCTCCTGATTCAGCACCTCTCCGCGGCGAGAAATCTCGCCAGCGACCGTTTCTACCGGACGCTGTACGAGTCGCTGCTTGACCCTCGTCTCATCACCTCTTCGAAGCAAGCGCTCTACCTGAACCTGCTGCTGCGCGCGCTGAAGAACGATGTCGATGTGCGAAGAGTCAAGGCTTTCGCCAAGCGAATGCTGCAGGTGGCCGGCCTTCATCAGCCCCCTTTTATATGCGGCTTGCTATATGTCATCTCCCATCTGAGGCAGTCATTCCCAGACATTTCGACTTTGGTTGAGGAGCCCGAAGAATCCGTGTTTGACGACGAAGAGCCTGAAAACCGACCGACGTACGATGGAAGGAAAAGGAACCCGGAGCACAGCAACGCCCACAGAAGTTGCCTATGGGAAGTGGTACGTCAAACCTGCACGCTCGTTCATGAAGAGAGATTTATAGCTGACTGTTGTTGCCCTAGATTCCGATCCAAAGCCACTTTCACCCTGCTGTCAGCAAGTTTGCCTCTTCGCTGTTGGATAGGAAGTCGAAAATGCTCAAGCCGGATATGGAGAGCCACAGTCTCATCAGGTTCCTGGATAAGTTTGTCTACAGGAATGCAAAGGCCACCGATTCACGCGGTGCATCCATCATGCAGCCTCTCAAGGCCGCCAAGGACATTGGCGACATCTGGCTGGGCAGCGGGCGCACCAGCTCGTCCACGACGCAAGTCAACTCGGCTGCCTTCTGGAACAAGAAGGCGGAGGACGTTGCCGCGGAAGATGTCTTCTTCCACAAGTACTTCCAGCACGTCTCCAAGGAGGCCAAGGAGCCTGCGAAGAAGGCGTCAGCGGCGGCTGGCGAAGACGGCGATGAGGATGCGGAAGAGGATGAGATCTGGAAGGCGCTGGTCAATGCTCAGCCCGACATTGATGAGGATGCCTCCGATGCTGGATTCGACGACATGGATGACCTGGACATGGGTTCTGACGACGATTCCTCGCCTGCCCTGTCGCTCGACGAGGCCGATGACGACGAGGACGACGACGACGTTAGTGTGGAGTTTGGCGACGAGGACGACGAGGAAGCATCCGACGACGACGACGGCTTGGTCGCTCCCGACGTGGCTGATGAAGACGAGGAGAAGGGAGACAAGCGCAAGGCTCGGAGGAAGATGCTCAAGGGCCTGCCCACGTTTGCGTCCGTGGACGATTACGCGGAGCTGTTGGCTGGAGAGGAGGACTTGTAGAGTATATATGCGAGCCTGTGGAGTATATATGAGAGGTTACATAATGTTCAGATATCAGCCTCAAGGCGGCGATTCCAAGCTTGTTCATACTGGGTAGTCTACCCCATTTTCTCACCAGGCTTGTTGTGTGTAAGTGACATGCTGGGATATGTACATGACGGGAGATGGTGCATCATCGTGCCTCTTGGCTTGGCCAGACATCCGTCACGAGACTCCTCCATCTCCTCAGAATCAAACAAACAAGAGGCAGATATCTTCAGCCTTGAAGATGTAAGCAATACACGAACAAGGAATAATTATCCGATCCTCACATATATCCGAGGCTTCAAGCTTCTTCTCACAGCAAGCCCGAATTCGGACAAAGCCGAGCCCGTCGCTCGCACACCTCCTTTTGGCTAGCATCGGCACAGACCCGGACCGCTGATAAGACTTTTTTTTTTTATCAGTCTATCTTATCGGCGCAAATGATGCCGATTCAGGTACTAGTTGTTATTAAAGGCGTGATGGCAAGGCTCCGAAGGTGGTCTCCTTTGCCTCGGCAATTGATAATACCACGGTCCATGTCGCGACTTTCCCTTCCTTTTTACTTGCTTGTCATTGCATTGTCTTTGTTCTTGCTGTTTCTGTGTTAGAAGAGGAGGAAGGACTCAGAGAAGAAAAAAAAAGAAAGAGGCAAAAAGAGAGGCAATTCAGAGAATGTTTAGCCAGCAAGTCGTCCGCGGTGGGCGGCGGATCGGCCAGATGGCTCGAGGCGGGCAGCAGCCGTCACTGGCTGCGCTGAGACGAACAGGTCAACGACGATGTTATGCTGCCGAGACTGCACAAGGTAAGTCATCTGTTTCCCACCCTCACATTGGTTCTTGTGGAACAAGTCGTCGAACGAGGGCTGACTGAGTTGCGCTCGTGGTTCTCCAGCCCCCCCCAAGGGCCGAGTCGGACGAGCCTTGGGCCTCCTCCTGTACGGCGCGGCCTTCAGCGGCCTCGGCGCCGCGGCGACGTTCTACGCCATGGTCCGGCAGGGCTTCGCCTCCTTCACCGACGCCGAGTCGGCCAAGCTGTTCGTGCCGGACAGCGAGGACCTGCAGCGCATCGAGGACACCATCAACAACCACCCGCTGGTGCAGGAGCTGCGGTCGCGGCCCGAGTTCAGGGAGTCGCGCCCGCACCTCAAGATGTCCGAGGAGATCCGCCGGCGGAGCCTGACGGCGGGCGTGCTGCAGGGCGAGGGCAAGATGGTGGTGCCGCCGCTGGCCTTCATCGAGGACGGCGGCAAGT